AAAATTACATATAGAAATAAAATATAGCCAGAGAAAATTCAAAACAGAAACATAAATCTAGCAAGCCACAGAAAATTAAAACGCTAGAGAAAATTACGCATGCCAGAGAAAATTAAACATAGTAGAGAAAATTAAGCCATGGCAAAGAAGGAACAACCTTCTTATGTTTTTCCAGAAAATTACACAACAAAGAAATTTGGAGAAAAACAAGAATTGAACTAAATAAAGGGGATTTTTTTGTTAGGGTCTGTAGTATTAAGATTTTATAGCATAAAGAATATCCAATATTTTCATAATGTTTAAGGCCTTATATATCAATCCAGAGAAAATTCAACTCAGAAATTCTCTAGACAGAGAAATTCAAAATTTCTCTGCTTTGTTCTTACGTGATCTAGAGAAAATTCAAAGCACTCCAAAGAAATTCAAAATTTCTTTGCTTTGTTCTTACCTGATCCAAAGAAAATTCAAATCACTCCAGAGAAAGAAATTCAAAATTTCTTTGCTTTGCTCTTACCTGATCTAGAGAAAATTCAAACCACTCTAGAGAAATTCAAAATTTATTTTCTTTGTTCTTACCTGATTTAGAGAAAATTTAAACCACTCTAGAGAAATTCAAAAGTTTTCGAATTCCCGAAAATCGGATTAATCACCACCGAAATCAAAGATTCCAGTATCAAAACACAAGCCCATCCCAAATCATTTACTCTCTCACTCTTCTCTGACCTCTTATCCACCGGAAACACCTTTGAAATCGCCTCCAAAACGAACCTCGCCGGATCGACACAGTCAACCAGGGCAACCGACATTTGAGCCCTTATTGAGTCAAATTCCTTCTTTCTAGCCGTCACGAACCTCTAGAAACCCTCAGCGTCCATTTTCGTACACAAATTCCTCAGTTTAATGAGCAAGCCCTCGCCGTCATCAACTTCACCTTCTCCACCACCGTCACTGCAACCGAAGGCATCGAGAGCGGCCGCCTTGCAATACTAGACCTTGTTGAGGGCGGCAGAGACGGAATTGGCAATTGTGACCTCTCGATTCTCGAGGACTTTGAGGGAGTCCTTGGTCTGAGATTCGAGAGTTCTAATCTTGTTCATTAGAGCCTCGGGCTGCTTCAGAAGGTTTTTCTTGAGAAAAAAGATGCAACAGAGAGAGAGAGAGAGAGAGAGATTCGATAATAGAGAAGTTGGTAGAGAGAGAAGTCAAATTTCTCTGTGATATATCGGTGTGGGGTTAAAGGACTTTAGACATTATAAAATAATATTGTGGATCTCTTTCATTACTAAAAATGGGAGAGGGAACTTAAACTAATTTTCCCCCAAAATAAACATGAGAGAGAAATTTTCAAAAAAGAAACATAAATCTAGCAAGTCACAGAATATTAAAATGCTAGAGAAATTTATAGGGCAGAGAAATTTGAATGAATTGAACTTGAAAATTACTTAGAGAAATACAGAGAAATTAACCATGCCAGAGAAAATGAGGGAATAAACACAAACAAATAGGGGAACAAACATGCCAGAGAAAATTCAAAGAATAAATATAGGTCAAGCAAATGCCGGAGAAATTTATAGATAAAATCACACAACAAGCTTCAAGAATAAGTTTAAAGCGCGGAGAAATAACATTTTTCAAATTCATTTAGCTTTTATTACGAAATTGAAACCCTAATGAATGGAAGACTAATATAAAATGCAATTAACTGTGTTTCTAGAGAAAAACTTGTTGGATTATAGAAAAACTTACCAGAGTGAGGATTACGAATTGATATGCCCTAAGACGAAGATGTACTATGATGAAGATGAACTGAGATGACAATGAACAGTGAAAACGGGTCAAAGAAACTTGTGAGGAAGGAATGGAAAAGATTTTCGCAGAATATAATGAAACCCTAATGTCGATAGTGAAGATGATTGTGAAACCCTAATTCTGCTCTACTCTTGCTCGTGAAGATGGTTGGATATCAGTATTGGAACTTAGTCATCAGAATCCAATTGAGTTTTCTCAGTTGATTGTGAAGGGTATTTTGGTCTAAAAAATAATTAAAAAGTGTCCATTCTAGTTGAGGGACTTAAGGCATCATCTCTTTTTTTGGTGTCCTTTATTCTCTAAATTACTATTATTAGGGACCTTAAAAATAATTTTATCTTTGGTGGGTAGAAATAATTTTTAAAAATTCAAAAACATTTTTTTGACATTTATTTTTGTCAAATTAGCTTATATTTTATCAAATTAGTGACTTTGCCCTTGAAATTGAGCAATAGTATCTTCAATTATTCTTATTTGGAACAAAATTCAAAAATAAGGGTCAAATGTGTCACAATTAAAAAATTAGGGTTCAAAGTGACACAAGTAACAAACTATAAGAACTGTTAGTGTAATTCGCCCAAAAATCAATCATGTGCATGTAGATAATGGCCCTGTTTGGGGCAGCTTAAAAGCTGCTTATTTCAGCTTTCAGCTTAATTTAAGCTATTTTGATGTGTTTGGTTTAGCTTATAGCTTTTTGGAAGTCAGAAATCAGCTTATTCTTTGAGTGAGACAAGAGATGCTTAATTTATAAGTCAAAAATTAGCTTATATTCATAATTATAAGCTATAAGCTATTTAAGCATAAGCTATAATCACTTTCTCACAGTTCTACCAAACAGGGCCAATGTTATTTTCTCATTGGTTGATAGAATAAATTGAGTGCACAATAAAATTTGAAACTTAAAAGATTCCTGAAATTAGACCATTGTACCTGATTAAGGTCTCGTTTGGGAGCAAATTATTTTCGTAAATTTTTAGCTTTTTACAAAAAAATGTATAAAAAAATAAAGAGGGTGATGTGACAACTTATAATGACTTTTTTTTATTAAAACTGAAGGTTGTCAAATGAGGCCGAAGTTGATAATTATTAACCCATGTAAAAACTTTTTGGTAGAAAAATATAATTTTATTATTTATATCTTAACATGCTCTCTCACGGTTAGGTAGACCTTTTATAAACCAGCCAAACATGGGAATTTTGGGAATTACTGTTGTTATTATTATTATAAGTAATAAATAAATAAGGTGAAAACAAAGATTAGCTTAATTTTTTATAATATATAGAAGTTTATTGAGCTGAATACTTATTTTGATGGAACTTTTAACTTAACAAATTGAATTGAGCCTTTGTCTGAGATGTAGGTTGACTTTTTGATTTTTTTTTGTTATTTTAGCTTGATGAAAAAGTTTCATTTAGGATGTGCTTTTTGACTTTTGTGAAAAAAAATAAAATGATTATGGTTTGGATGTGACATTTTATCTTATTGATTTTTTAAATATTTTGTCTTTTTTTTGACTAAAATAGCTAAAGTAGTTCATGCCAAACATAACTTGAAATTTAGGTCGTTTTACAGTGTCTTAGATCATCTCTAATCATGTATCAAATTTATCATCGAATTTGAATTTGATGAAAAATGGTTCCTTTTTCAGCTCCAACGGTTTCATCAAATCGATATCAAATCTAGAATTTCATTTTTATTTCATCAAACTGAGGACACCAATGTGCCTTTCATCAAATCACTATTCATTATCGTTGAATTTTCACAACCGGATGTCCTCCTAGATGACCACTTCAAGGCAAAAGTTTGTGAAAAAATTACACTAGCCGGTCGACCTCCCGGTCGATCTCCCGAATGATCATCTCAAGAAGAAAAATTGTGAAAATTTTGCATTGGCCGATCGACCAGCTAGATATTTGTCCGGTCATCATCCCGGTCGACCAATCATTTGACGAAGTCGCAAAACCCTCCTTTAGAACACTTAATATAAAAGAGAATTTGTTCTTAAAATTTTACTCAAATGTAATAAAAAAAATTGATAGCCCATTGGAGATACCCTTGCATGTACCATTACTAATGATTTTATACTACAATCCCAAAAATGATTTTATACTACAATCCCAAATTGATACTTGACATAAGCCTTGGTCACGCATATACAAACTTCTTGAATACCCTCCCCTTATAAACTGATTTTCTAAAGTGAGTATCTTCGTGTGATTATAAATTTCAGTGAACCTAGAAATTTCGGCAGAGCAATTTCTTGAGGGAGTCAACAACAAAACTACTAAGAGAGATTCAGCCACTCGTACAACTTGCTTTTTCCAGATCCACTAGCCTAATCCGAATTATTCACTAAATCTGTCTTCATAATTTTTTTTTTGAAGTATTGAATTTCTCCCAAATTTAAATCTAAATTCCGTTTCGATAATCTGAACTGTTTATAATTTAAGACTCTCAATATATATCATCAATGAAAAAATTTGGTCGATAACATTTTTATTTTAGCACGCTTAGGCCTAGTTTGGTAAGTGACTTTTTTAGTCAAAAAGTTACTAAAAAAATCAAAAAACTAACAACTCATACCAAAAGTCAAAGATTTTATTTTCTCTTTACTTTTTACACATCTTTTCGTAAAAAGTCAAAAAGTCATCCCAAACATACTAGTTTTTTTTATATCACATTTTAGTCAAAAAGTTAAAAAGTTACTTAAAAAAACATGTTCCTAAACGAGGCTTTAGTGTCTGAAAAAATAAATGACAAGTATGTTTTTCAAAATAGACCATGCATTTTTTTTTAGACAAGCGTGATAAAATGAAAATGTTTCGAATCAAATCGACCTAATTTTTTCATAAATAATGTATATGGAGGAGGGCATTACAAAATGAACGATTTGAATCATCAGAATAGAACCCATGCTAGACTCTACAGGCTCCTCAAATTCTCTCAAGTTCAAAGTTGAACTAGTTTGATAAAAATAAATACCTAAAAGATATTTTTAAATTTTTTAAAAATTATTTATGTCTCTCAAAAAGATAAAACCATGTATAAATGATGAGTATTTTTTTTTTTTTCACACTAAATTAGTTTTTTTTAGTTAAAAAAATACTCCCAAAAAATGGAAACTGATTCCAAAACCAAACCAAACCTAACCTGTGTTTAGATTCAAGAGAGAAGAAAATCAAAGAGAAAAGTGAAAAAAAATAGTTTTTATTTCATTCATATTTTTTAATTTCTTTTTCTTTTCCCTCCACAAAACACAAATACAGATGCATCTTTAGTTTGTTACAACACTATAATCCTTATTTTTTTTAAAGACAATAATGACATACTAGATTAAACCCCTTTCTTTGCAACATCGAATAGCTCCATCAAACATGTCTTCAAATCCATACTTAAACTTGAACCCACAATCCAATAGTTTCTTTGAAGACAAGCCAGAATACTTGGACTCTTCAATTCCCTTTAACAAACTGCTAGAAATAGGTAGTGATCATATGTTAATATTTCTCCTTACTTGGAGAAAAAAAATCCAGATAAAAATGGAAAACTAAAAAAAAAATTGTAACTTACTCCGCTTTAGGAACCAGATATTCTGGGTATTTAGCAGACAAAAATTCACAAATTTGATCAATTGTAACTTCGAGCGGGGAACAAATGTACCGCCCTTTCAGACTAGGATTTTCCAGAAGGAAGATGTGTGCATTGGCTACATCATCTATATGCACCAAAGATGTTTTAGAAAGATGCTTATATTGTTCCTCTTCACCTGCATATATTGAAAACATTGTTAAAAAAACAGAAAACAAAAACGAACAGATCAGCATATGGTAAGGTTTTAGTTTTCAAAAAAATTTAAGAATTGGGAAGAAAAATATGTTTAATTGTTTTCATTTCGAAAAAATGGCGACGGTTTTCAAAATTTTGCAAAATAGTCCCAAAAAAATATGTTTTCACTTGTCCACACTGTTAGTGTATATTAGTGCTTGTAATGATGTTAGTTGGTTAGTACTTGTCTTTATTATTCATTACTTTAAGTTAGTGTTCGGCTACTTTCGGCTACTTTCCTATTCAGGTTTGTAATCCTCTCCTATATAAGGAGCTTCTAACATTGTTAAAGATACAACACATCAATCAATAATACATACAATTTATTTTCTCTGTAATTCTCTCTCTATCAATTTATCTTACATGGTATCAGAGCAGGTTTAGAACCTAGTATTTTTGCTTCACCGCCGGGCGGCAACTTCGCCTTGGCCGCCCGCCGGACCTCAACCTAATCCGCTAGAATTTTCTACACATACCTTGAAATTTCTTCGGGTCCACCACCACTGCCCCTCCTCTCACTGTTGTCCTCCCATACACCACCGTCTCGGTTGTCTTCATCTACCACCACTGTTGACCTTAACCCGTCGCTGCAGTCCTTTCACTCTGATCAACGGCTGGACACTTTCTTTGCACATTTTTCTCCATGACCTGCACACAACAGCACATGCAACAACGTGCTTGCGAGCAGGCCATGTATTCTCACTTGCCTCCAGCCTCTTAATCACATCACGAAGAAGTTCTGGTGGGAGGCTAGCCCAACAGCTATTCTGGATGATGAAAGGCTGGTCATGCAACTCATGGACGGCACCATGAGATTTCCCCCTGATATGCCTAGGCAGCTTTCTGCTTCCTTCTCGGCCACGCCAACTGTCCCCGCCATCGCCATGTCCGTCGGCGGAACCCTCCAGATCCCCACCACCTCCGCCAGAAGAACCCTCCAGATTCATACACACGGCATACATTGGGAGATGAATACATACACACATGTATCTGCTCTCGGGTTCTCTCACTCTCTCAGCAGTTTTGGGTTAGCGCATTCACACACACACAGTTTACAGAGAGAGAGCCCACTCAACTTTCTTTTTCTTTTTTTTTTATTATTTTACTCCATCTTTTGAAAAGCACACGAAACACAAATTGATTTGCACATGTATCTCTTTTCTCTCTCTCTCCCTTTACACCCTCTCTTTTCCTTTCTTTTTCTTTTAATATTTACCTCCACTACCTTTTGTCTTTCCAATACAGCCACCATCTTACCCCAAATCTCTTTTTTTATTCGTTTTATTCTTATTATCATCCTCCTCATCATGTACCCCACTTTCTCTCTCTCTCATTTTTTCACTTTCCAATCTCCCGAGGCACATGCTTTCGCCCTTACTCTATTCTTATTATTATTATTAAAAAAAAAAAAAAAAAAAAACACATATACAAAAACAAATACCAAACCCATTGCAGGTTTTCACAAAACCGTGGGCCACGAAACCTTTTTTTTCATTATTATTTCTTTGCAAAAAAAAAAAAAAACAGCAGACGAAGAAGACGAACTGCACACCACACTCATTTTATTCATGTCGGGGCTCACCCCGATCACCATTTTACACCAAAAAAAAAAAAAAAAAAAAAAACCACCCACACCCAACAACCTCATCCACAGGCGGGATTTTTCTTCTCTACTCTGCCGCCGTCTTTTCTTCTTGCCTCCGTCCTGGACGGCCCTTGACGTGCTGCCTCCGTGTTTCCCACTCCACTGGGCATGATCACTACTCCCTGCTCCTCCACTGCAGCATATGGCGGCCCTCCAAATGGAACATAACGGTGCCTTCCGCTTCAGCTCCTTATTTTCCGTCTTTAGCACACTTTCTCTGCTCGCGCATCCTTATACATGCGTTGGAGCAGAGCCAGTTGGGCGTTTAACTGCTGCACCTCATTTATCCTACTCTGCAGCCGGTGCGACAAGTTTGTGACCGCAGTCATGGTTTCCCACGCATGACTTCAAATATACTGATTGGCCTCAATATCAGTTTGCACCGCCATTTTTTGCTCCACAGACCGCATCGGAAAGTTCAACGGAGCAAAACCAGAGGTGTTTGGTTGAGGTTCACTAGCCACCGCACTGGTTATCTCTCTTGTTGACTCGTTGAGGTCGGGAAAGAGAGTGAGTAGACCACGGAACGAAGATGCCATATTCTGGGTAGCTGAACGGGAAGAAGAGGCCATTGTTCAGATGTTTCAGAATGCAAAAATTCAGATATTTCAGAATGAAAATGTTCAGCGATTTCAGACTGGTTTGCACAGCCTCGCCTCAACCTTGGTTTAAATAGCAGGGCCGATCCGCATCGCGCGCCACTTGACGCCAGACGACAAAACGGGGCGCGTAGGCCAAGATAATCACGCGCCTCGCCATCATGTCCGGCACACCTTTTTATGGATTGGCACGCCTTTTGATGCACGCCTTTTGAAAGATTGGGCACACCTTTTGAGGGTGCGACTTTTTACAACGGTCTGACACGACCACACAGTGTCTGCTACATCGGTCCGACATGACCCCGTAAACTGTCTTGATCCCCTTTATCACTCACTTTATTTCAACCTCAAATAGGTTTCTATCTTCACACCTATTTGAGTTTGAGGGGGGTTATACATATATCATGGTGAGCATGGTTACACACCATGGGACCACTCAAACCACCCATGGCGCACTCCCTAAGTCGCCTCCTTGGGCACCACCACAAGCTTCTACATCGGTCCGACATGACCCCGTAAACTGTCCCGACATTGATTCCGGTCAGCTTCTACAACGGTCCGGCATGACCCCATAAACTGTCCCGACATTGATTCCGGTCAGCTTTTACATCGGTCCAGCATGACCCTGTCAACTGTCACAACATTGGCTTCTACATCGGTCCGGCATGACCTCGTAAACTGTCCAGACATTATCTGCTACAACGGTCCGACAACCGACATACAGTGTCTTCACCAACGGTTCGACACGACCATACAGTGTCTCCTATCCTATTTTATTTTCCTATTTTATTTTGTTACTCTCTCCAAACTCAAGTTGGTTAATTTTATCCTCCTTGAGTTTGAGGGGGGCTGTTAGTGTATATTAGTGCTTGTAATGATGTTAGTAGGTTAGTACTTGTCTTTATTATTCATTACTTTAAGTTAGTGTTCGGCTACTTTCGGCTACTTTCCTATTTAGGTTTGTAATCCTCTCCTATATAAGGAGCTTCTAACATTGTTAAAGATACAACACATCAATCAATAATACATACAATTTATTTTCTCTGTAATTCTCTCTCTATCAATTTATCTTACACACACAACCCCTTTAAGCAAACTTGTCAGCAACCAATCGAGCAAGCAAATTTTTGAGACCTAAATGATGGAAGATGATAAATAAAGAAATGAAAATGAATGTTAAGTGTAATAGTTTAGTGATTTAGTCATATTATATTTAAGAAAATTAAATTTATATATTTAATAAATATTATCACACAAGGGGGTAGGGAGAAGAAAGCTCGTCCCGCCCCACTTTTGGAACAGGGCAGGGGAAATTGTCATTCCTATTTCAGGCACTCCCCCTCCCCCTCAGCCAAACATTTCATTCGTTTTGTTTTTTGCAATTTGTTTTTTGTACACGGAAAATTGAAAATTGACAACATTATTCCACGCATTAGAAAGTAGGGTTGATAACACGTACCAAAAATCACAGCCAATGCTGTATATACTGAACCGGGGCAGTGAGGACAAAGGTAGGGGCCGATGATCATAGGAGGAATCAAACTCACGAGGTTTAATCCATGATCTTTTGCAAATTCTAAGGCTGCCCTTTCAGCCAATGTCTTGGAAATTATGTATGAAGCTCCAAAGGGCTTTTGTGCTCTAACATAATCTATATCAGTCCAGTGACTCTCATCAATCATGCCTAAATTCTTGTCATTGTACAACACAGTGAATGCACTAGAAGTGTACACAACTCGCTTCACCGTCTTTGAATTTACACAGGCTTGTAGAATGCCTAAGGTTGCATTGATTGCTCTCTCATTCGTGACTTCCTCGGGTACATTCTCTTCGAAAGTAACAGGGTGAGCAACATGGAAGACTCCGGTGCATCCTCTAATGACACCGGCAAAAGTCTCGGGATGGTTGAGGTCAGCATTGAAGATTTGGAGCTTTTCTGATGCGCCCGGTAGGTTTGTTAGGTAGCTAATGTCTTTATTGCTGTCTGGTCAGAGAATCAAATACTGGTAAGTGTTGATAAACATATAAATTCTCATCTTTCAATGTGTTGTTTCGATTAGCATGGAAGTAGAAACATTTGGTAGATATTTCACAAATGTTTGGAAACATTTTGCAAGTGTTTAATGTTTCCCAACTTTACATTGATACTAATTTTGGTGCAAAAGTACCAATTAGACAATTGTAAGGTGAATTTATGCTGCAAGAAAACTTCTTGTCGCGATTATTGCACTTAAATTTTTTTTTTTATAAATATGGAGCGATTTTAATGGAGAAACTCCATGAAAGGAAGAATAATGATTCATATAAATTATCGGAAATGCCAGGAAGTCGATAAGCTAATTCTATGATGTTTATTTGCTAGGCTATCCACCTAAACCAGAAGCAATTATAGATGCTATAACAGAACTTCGTAAGAAAATATCTCGAGAAATCTATGAAGGAGATGATTCATGTTTTACTATAGAACGTATTACTATTAATTACTATGATTCTATTCCATATTCCGGTAAGATTCAAGAACTAAATATAGGCAAGGTGCATCCAGGGCCGGCCCTGGCCTAAGGCCAATAAGGCTTGTGCCTTTGGCCCCACAATTTTGGCCTAAAAAAAGGGCCCCTAAATTTAATAAATTGTTATAAGCCCAACTTTTTTTTGTTTGTTTTTTGTTTGTTTGTTTTTTATTTTTTTTGTTTTAGGATCAATTTAAAGGGCCTCAAAATGTTTTATTGGGCCCATGTTTAGTTCAGTCCATATTTATGTGGTTTGGCCCATATTTATTAAAATAAAAATATATAAAAAAAAAAAAAACAAATAAAGTGTTTGGGCCCAACCCAAACTATACATACAATATACAACATTGTTCACTTAATATATGAAAGTAAATTTTAATTTATAATTTTAATGATTATATGTGCAAGTATATTTAAATAAAAAATTTGTGAATACTTATCATTTGATCATAAATTTTTTATTAAAAAAAAATATATTAGAGGGGCCCCATTTTCATAGTTCGCCTTAGGCCCCACAAATCTCAGGGCCGGCCCTGGGTGCATCTAGGACGCTCTGTTGAAGATAGTTCTTTCGCCAAGGATCAAAATTTTCAGAAGTCAGTTTCTGTGTGCTGTTTCGATTAACATGGAAACATACACATTTTGTAAATGTTTTGGAAACTTTCTGAAACATTATAAGAGCGACAAAAGGATTTTAAAATATATAGAAATGTTTGGAAACATAAATTGAAATTTATCTAAATGTACAAAAGCCTGATAGTTGATTAATTAAACATATTGATTTGGGATTAACTCTGTTTAAACTAATTTTCATGGTGACCCAAAAATGCACTAATATTTATATGAGAAAGTTCAATGAAGTAAATCTATACTTATTTGCTGAACAGTACTCAAGCTTGAACAATACAAAGCTCAGTTATACTATTAGTTTTTTTATTTTTTTATATTTTATATATATTTTGTATTTTATTTTATTTTATGGAACTACTATCAGTTTCTTGAAACCATCAATTATGGACCCTAGAGCACTAGCGGCATCATCCCAGAAAATAATTGGGGATTCTCTGTTCCTCTGATTCAATGCATTCTTAATCGCACAATGTGGAGAGAATCTTAAGATAAAAGAATTTCAAAACATGATCACTAAAAGTGTATTAGGGAATCTCAAGATACAGAAATTTCAAATCATAATTGTATGGTTAAAAAAACATTTATGTCAAAGGGTTATCTGTAACTTGAATCTTGACATATATAAGAGTAAAAAATCATTAAAACCCTCTCTATTCCTTTCCTCAAACTTATTCCAAATTGAGTAAGCTCAATTTTTTACTCAAGTAAAGAGAAACCCATTTCATTTATACATATTGATATCCAATTCAAACTTGACACTACCTACTATTTTAATTTTTACCCAAACTTTTCACTAATTTTCTTTAATCCATTGCTTCCACTCAAACTCAACACTTGGACAATTTTATCTAAATTTGAGCTTATAGTGCTTCATATCAAATGAATCTTTTTATTGAATATTTCTCATTCAATCTGAATAAAATATAAAGATTAGAGATGATCTAAAAATATATGAGAAATTTGAGGAAACAGAGTAGGATTTTCATATGTACCCAAAGAACACATTACAAAAGATTGTCACTATGACTTTGAGAAGGTAAAGACAACCTTACCAGGGTAAGATCTAATGGTAGTCCTAACTGTATAACCATGTTGAAGAAGCCTCATGATCAACCATGATCCAACATACCCAGTACCACCTGTTACACATACAATACCCTTATCATCATCATCATCACCCCCTTCCATCTCTCTCCTCTCTGTCTCTCTAAAATGGATGTGAGGGGTATTCTACAAAGAAACAGTAGGACTCGCTTGCAGAGTAACTAACATTCAATACTTCTTTGTTTTGTCTGTAAAGAACAAGTGACAAAACAACAGAGTCCTAGTCACCACTTTTTGTGGTGGTTGTGTTACGTTGTATTATGTCTACCCTTCTCTGGGTTTTTGGTCTATCAGAGGCCACGGAAGCTTCTATTTGCGAAATGGGTTCCGCTTGTGCCCAGTCCGAGATCGGACTGGACAGTACCGTTGGGCCCATGAGGGCTCACTATGGCTCTTGTTTTGATAATTGAAACCGTTAATGTGTAGAACTCGTCAAGTACTATATATTTATAAAAAATCATGTTGATCGAACATCAATAACTATGTGATTAAAATAGTTTTTTGTCAACCGTTAATTTATTTACCGTCCATTTTTATTTATACATAACTGATTTGATCACATAGTTATCGATATCCGATCAACATGATTTTTCATAGGCGTAAAGTATTCGACGAGTTCTACACATTGAACGGTTCGAATTATCAAAACTAGACCCATGATGAGCCCCAATGAATCTAACAGTACCATTCAATCCGATCTCGAACTCGACACAAGCTAAACCCTTGTGAAATTATTTTTAGATACCCATGGCATTACGGGGTATTATTATTTGGTCGAGGATCGCCTAAAAATTTAAATTTCATCATCATGTAAAGTTTATAAAGCTTATCATGAATTTTATTTTAATTATTTAAATCGTTTATTTTTTAAAATTTTTATGTATATTATTCTTTAAAAAAATAAGTCATTCTGATAATTATAAAATTTTTATTTTATTGTTTTTATTTATAAAAATAAATAAATAAATAAAGTGAATGGCCTATCTTTAAAAAAACATATTTATTGTTCATTTTTCAGAAACAAATATAATAAAATAAAAATATTATAATTATCAAATAGACTTAATTTTTTATGAATGATATACACGAAAGGCTCTACAAAATAAATGATTCAAATTATCAAAACGGCTCCGTGATAAGCTCTATGAAACCTAATGTTGTGTTTAGTTAGGAGATTTGGGAAGTGATTTGAAAAAGAACATAGAAAATGTGTGTAAAATTAGATAAAATTTAGGTATATTTTATTCATATTTTATCTATATTTTTTATTTTCCTTTTCAAATCTCTTCTCAAATTCTATAACCAAACACCGCATAACTTGACAGTCAAGTTCAGATTTTGAATCTGAAAAAAAGCTTAATCATATCATATTTGTGCATGCACTCCACATATTATGCTTGTCTTCCATCCACAGTCCACTGTGTAGATGCTAGGGTGTTGTTGATGTTCATAGGCCGATCACGGGAACTATTTCGATGATATGTAATGTTTATTTTATTGAGTTTTATGTGTAGATTATTAAAAATAAATAAATTGACTTGATAATCATAATTAAATAATTTTATTAAATTTATTTTCAAAGAAATAAATAGTCTATTTTGAAAATTATAGATATATATATTATTTATTTTTTTAAGACAAATATAATAAAATTATATAATTATAATTATCATATACATCTGATTTTTTTGTGTGAATAAAATCTAATGAAATAAACATTTCAAATCATCGAAACGATCCCTTACGTTGTGTTTAGTTGAGAGATTTAGGCAGGAATTTGGAAAAGGAAAGAGAAAATGTAACACCCACCTCCTTGATTAACTGCTAAATTTGAAGGTTACTTTAATTATGTGCTTTTATGTGACTTATATGCTTATATGTGTGTTAATTGTGTGCCACGAGTTATTTGAAGTATGTTTTGATTGACAGATATGTTAGTGTGTGAAAAAGGCTTGTCTGAATTATTAAATTCTAAGGTTAAAATTAAATGTTGGACTAGGTGGTTAGATTCTAATTCACCTTGTTATGTTGGGACTCAACAATAAGTAAAGGAAAGAAAGAGACCAAATCTGAGAGAGATAAGAGAGTTCTAGAGAAACTTAGAAGGTGAACTTAAGAGGGGAATTGAGCTAATCTGCACAAAATTGACCTTCCAAGGTAACATTCATCTTCTAACTTCTTGAAATTGAGTTAATTCACACATGGAATTGTAGAATTTAGGTTGGATTAGGGAGTTGGGAGGAGCAGGTTGAAAGTATAAACCTTAAAGAGAGGAATCATAGAAAATAGCCTCAAATCTTGTCATACATGGTGTTTCTCATGATCAAGCACTTGTTTCTTGCTTGATTCTTAAAGATGGACGTTGAAACTCCATGGATTTTGAGTTTGAAACTTACAATTGCATGGTTTTGATTTTTTTATCCCATAAATTCTAAGTGGTGATCTTTAAAATAGAAATTGAGTTTTGTTTGAAACTTTTACTTTTGTTTGAAGTTAGAAATTTCTCATTCAACATGTTTTTGTGAGTTTTGGGTTTTGATTTGCCTGAAATTGAAGTTGGGTTTGCAAAAATTGAGCTTCACCTTTGAAGTAGATTTTCGAACTAGAACTTCACTCAAACTGCTCGCTCGGCCTGGGCCACCGCATGAGCGTCCAAATCTTTTTTTGCTCAATTTGCATTCTGCTTAGGGACCACACGAGCGGTTGTGGCCACCGCACGAGCGGCCAGGCCACCGCTCGAGCAACCTAGACCACCGCACGAGCCCTCCCCTGTTCACCTTTGCATTTTGCTCGCTAGAGCGACCAAGGGTACCGCACATGCAGTCAGCAAGGCCGGCTCAATTTTGTTTCCTTTCTGTTTTCTCTGACTTTTGGGTCTCCGGTTGCATGGTTTTCAAGTGTTTTTATATCTCATGAAGATAATGGAAAGTAATCAATGAATACAAGAAAAATTAGTGACTAACGAATAGGTTATGAAGTGATTGCATGAGAGGATTGTATGTTAAACCATTGTGTTTAAATCAGTTTGTGTAGGTCAAACACTGCATCCTACCCATGCGTTCCCAGGAGCCAACTGTGAGTAACAATCGTGTAAAGATATGTTCAATTATAAGTATTTTCTGACTTAAACTATACTCCATTTCTGAAATGACATTTTCTGTTTAAGTGAATGATTGCCTTGTTTTTCTGAACTGTATTCGTGGTATCCTTAGCATTTGTTTACTGTTATTGTTACAGAGATCTCTGTCAGTTCCAATCCTTGGAACTTTTGTTTACTGTATTGATGGCACGTCCATCAATTTTGATTGTTCGGTCTTCGTGACCGTCTGCATTGTTCTGCTATTAGATGTACCACGTATGACTACTATGCTTTCTGTGTGAAATAGGAATCTGCTAAGCAAATGATTCTGATTTTCTTTTTATTGCTATAATTAACCGATTTGAATTACAGTAAGGACATCATTCTTAACCTCTTTACACTGTTGTTATTCACTGGACTCTACCTCATGCCTTTATATATGTATGTAGGTGATCAAGTGCAAGAGGGGACGTAGTGGCATCGATCTAACCTTCATTTTGTCAAGCTAATTTTTGTGCCCCACCACGAGGTTCCAACCGGTCAAGCTTTAAAGCTTCATGAGGGATTTGGGGAGTCACTCTTTTGGTAGTGAACTAGTGCTTTGCAATTTCGTAATGAGATTGATTTTTGTTGATCGGGGTTAGGTCCTTGTGTTTTGGTTATGTGTTGTAATTAATCTTGCTACGATATGTGCATATTTATAAAAGTTCTTTTGTTCCATTTAAGTCTTCAGAGCTTTTCGGACATTTATTTTCTTAATTAGTGGCTTCCGCCAACCCTGTTACTGTATTACTGTTAAGTAGGCCTTTGGTAATCATGGATTACTAGTTGGTTACGACACTAAACCTATAGAGACGAGTTTGGGTCGTGATAGAGTGGTATCAGAACACGAGTTATACCGTACACACACGTTCAAATGAGCTATAGGATGTCCTAGAAAAGCAATTAGGGCATTTTAATTGCATTTGTGAGTGTGTATAGATTTGTGTTGTGCTTATGTGGTGTTAGTGTGAAGATGTGTATCTTTAATGTATTATAAGAACTGCAATTCCTATGTTTATTATTACCCTGTTTACATATAGACCAATGGAGAACATAAGACACAGATTAATCTGAATCTTCGGATGCCAGAATGGATCGATTAGAAAGAATGGTGGAATTGTTGACAGAATCTTTGAGACAACAATAAAGACAACCATTTCCATCCCTCCTCCGCCACCAATCTTTGTTGAGCCACCCAATATTATCACCTTGACATAGAACTTTAACAAATTGAAACCACCTACATTCCCGGGAGGCCTTGATCCACTAAAAGTTGAGGTGTGGATCTTAGAGATCGAAAAGTTGTTTGAGCTTTTTCCGTGTTCAGAAGTACAGAAAGTTTTATTGGCGACCTTCACTGTACAATAAGAGGCAAGACGATGGTGAATGCTCATCCGTGATCATAACAGTTCCATGACTTAGAATCAATTCAAAGAGGCATTTTATGAAAAGTATTCCCCCCAATGTGTCAGTGACCGTAAAGTAACGAAATTTGAGTAGCTAAAACAGGGGTACCATGCCGGTGGCTGAGTATGAAGCCAAATTCACAGAGCTTACGCGGTATATGCCACACATGGTCGATTTTGACTACAAGAATGCCAGAAAATTCAAGGGTGGACTGGATGTTGAAGTTCTAGACTAGGGTGAATGTTTTTAAATTGACAAAGTATGTTGATGTTTTGGATAGAGCTCTTATGTCTTAAGAAAATATCGCAACATTAAAATAGACCAAGACACTGGTGCATGGGTGGAAGGGAAAAAGACAGAGATTTAACTTTAAGAAGGGCCGAACAACTTGAATAGTTCACGAAATAAGAGACAGAATATGGGGTCATCAAATAGCTCCAGCTAAGGGAATAATACGCCCCTTAGCCCAGAATATGGAAAAAGACATAAAGGTGATTTTTGGAGCGTGTTTTCGGTGTCAACCTCAACACCGAAGTCTAATATGAAAGTTTCTACATGGTAGGAAACTTTGAGGCAATGACAAGTTTTTGCACTTGTACCGGGGATGTGTAGAATACAGAGATGGTAGTGTCAGGTATACTCCCTATCTGTGCCCAGAATGCTTAT